AAGTGAACACTATTTTTATTAATTATTAATTTTTATGTCATGTAATACACAGCCGTGTTATACAACTCTTCAAATAAGTGATGTTTGGTCTCATAATACGAGTCCATCGATGAGCTGTCGGCGCAACGACTCACAGCCCTCTCGACCCACCGATCGCGACAGCACTCCTCACACAAGACGTCCTCTCGTTTTAATTGCTTTTCACAACATTTATGGGAAATTAGTTTAATTAAAATAATGACTTTTCGGAGACTATTTGTTACGCAAAGATATGCACAGCTCTTATCGACGCGAAAATGTCGCAAATATTACTCAACTTATGAGTTGATGCCAAACCATCATAATTATGAAACTGATTATTACTGTTCGCCTCGAAATCACAGCCAAATACTGAAGAACATTGAGTTGAGAGGAATGGCTGATGAGCTGAAGGAGTTGTTTGACGAGAGCACCCGACACGACAGTCAACTCCTTTCCCAAGCGATTATCAACAATATAGAGTCTATGCCTAATAAGTTGCACCCAATCTGGTAATGATAACGACATGTGGTTTCAAACCGATCACTGGTTTATTTATTTTATACTTTTTTTCATTGACTCGAAAGGTATGATTCAGACAATGACTATAAGACAGTGGATACGATCGGAACGAAAAGAGTGTTTGATTTTAAGCCACAAAAAGCGGAGACTTTGCTGCAAAAGTTGGGACTTTTATATTTGTCTGACAGGAGTGCCGGCAATTTAGGAGTCGTCGGCGGCAAAAACAGTTACGCATTTGTGGCTGATTTGTGTCGATTAGAGCACGCGCTCATCACATGGACCACAAGTGTACTCATTAATGAATACGGCTTTACGCCGGTAGTTGTGCCCCAACTCCTGTATTCAGATATAATAAAGTCCTGCGGATTCAACCCTTCCGGCCGTCGATCGCAAGTCTATCGATTGACGTCCGATGAAAGGGTGTGTTTGATAGGGACGGCCGAACAGCCATTGGCCGCCTTCAACATCGGTTAGCAGTTGTTTTCCATTCGTTATACTATTTGGCAACAAATTTATCAAAATTTAGTTTCATTTTCAATATAAATATCCGAAACAAATGACACGTTTTACTCGAATTGAACCGAAAAATAGTGTTTTATTGAAATTCTCTCTCTCTCTCTCTCTCTCTCTCTCTCTCTCTCTCCCCTCCTCTCATCTATTCCTCTGTGGCCTCTGTTTTGACAGTTTAGTTGAGTTTAGGTTGAGCTGAGTTGTGACTCTTTCTGACGATAAGTCTTATTTGTTTTGATAAATTGTCAAAATATCTCAAAACAGTTCTCTCTTCGTCTGCAACCAATAGGCGAAACATTTTCATCGCAAGACTTACCAAAAAAATACTGTTCAATGAGCCGATGCTATCGCGCTGAGACCCAAAGTACTAAACAAAATTGGGGTCTCTTTCGAGTGCATTATTTTAATAAAGTCGAGATGTTTGCCATCACTGATGAGACCCAATCATCGCAAATGTTGCACCATTTGGTCGATATCCAGAAGTCGCTGTTTGAGCGGTTGTTCATTTGTTTCCGTGTCATTGATATGCCTCCTCACGACTTAGGACTTCCGGCCCACAGAAAGTTCGATATCGAGGCTTATATGCCAGGTATGGCCCAAATCCACTCAAATGCACATTAATATTGATTTTCGATTTTTCATTTTCATTCCCACTCTTTCTCTCGCCATTCAATCGATTATTTGCTATTATTAGGGCTTAAATGCGATTATATATTGTCTTCACACCAGTTATACCTATAATAAGTGTTGAGACACTTAATCAAACATTAAATTGTTAACACTTTTTATAATTAACCGATTCTTTCACTAAAAATCAATAGTTTTTTTATCTCAAAGACTTTGAGAATTTAGTTGAATTGCACTCAAGATTTATGCTTTTGTTGTTTAAAATCTTATATGAAATGCATTTCGTTTTTATACATCAATCGATGGCTAGAGTTAAACGCTTTTAAGGCTAAGTAACACACTATTAAGAATTTAATTACAAAATTTTCAATAGTTTTCTCTCTATTTATACTTTGATGACATTCTTTATATAAAAGCTTTAATATTATAGTTTATTTTCGGAGACATCATTAGCGAAAATAATATAATAATCCTTTTTTCCATTGTTAACACAATTTTTGTATGGGGTAACCAAACAGTCAATCACCCGAATAAATTGTATATATTGCACATAATAGACTACCCTTTTGTAATACAGTATTATATTTTTTATGCTTTAAATTTATCAGAAAATAATTATCTTAAAACTCTGTTTATAGTTAGTGTAAAGTGTTAATGTATTATTTTTTAATTTACTTTTTGTTTGCATAGTATTCAATGAATGTATTTATTTTTCACGCATTGTTTGAATGGTGTTTCAGGTCGTGATGTTTGGGGAGAGATCTCTTCGGCGTCCAATTGTACGGACTATCAGTCGAGACGTTTGAATATGAAGTACCGGTCTCTGGATGTGAACGAAGAGACGAATCAAGTGTTTAGCGATAGGTTTGTTCACACGATTAACGGGACGGCGTGTGCTGTGCCTCGGATGCTGATCACGATTTGCGAGCAAAATCAGACCAGCGATGGATTTATAGTAATACCTGAAGTGTTGCGTCCATTCATGTCTGGGCAGACAGTTATTGATAAAAGGCAAACACTTTTTGCTATCACTGAACACCCAAACACTGGTCGAGTAGTCCTTTAATCGCATTACTAGTCTCTCATTCATCTCATACTACATATCGATTGCTTTTTGTATCAAATCAAACAAAAAGATTGTTTTCTTTTCTGTTTTAGTTTCCGTTAGTTTTACTCTCAATTAAATTATATTTATTTTATAATAAATTAAATAAAAATTGCAATAATTTTCTTTAACTTGTTTTTCATTGACTCTAATATTTGGCACTAAACAAGAATCCGCTCTTTAGTTGTACTGTACATGAGTTCTCCTAAAGTACTAATTGTATTGATATTTTAAAGTGAATACCGGATACAGTAAACGGATTTTGTTGGACTTTCTCTCCACACAAATGTCACCCAAATATATATTAGTCTCTCGAAAGCTTTTATGTTTAAGTAGTTTTGAGTATTATTTCTAAATTAGCCAAAATATTAAATGACTCGAAATAAATCATTGTTTTAAAATATTAATAATTAAACTCAACTGTATTTTCGTGAAATATCCGTAATTGCAGTGGAGTTAAGTTTTTAGTCAATAAATATTTTAAATATAATTTACGAATTGTAGGCATTGTTTGCTTTTAAAACTAAACTAATTTTAAGATTCGCTCATAAATTCTTTTTAAGTGAATTGGAGTTGAGATTTAAAAGAAATACACTTCACTGTAGTTTCTGTAATGGTTTTTAAGAAATCATATTTCTTTGTGCCGACAACTAATGTCTAGTGCGTCAACATCTGTGTCGGTTTGTCCTCAAAAAAAGCTTTCATTAGATATTTTTTAACAAAAACTTCTTCATTTCAGATATAATAATAATATTGGATATGATTTGATGTATCATTAAATGGCTTATAAATATCACTCATCGTATCGTTGGATCGAAAATTAATTTATACTTTTTGCTGCTTTTTTAGTATTGATTATAAATAAATCAAAAAACAAGTCATTATATTTAGATTATTGTGAAATTCAATTTCCAAAATAACAGAATAGCGTTTTGAAACTAAATTCTTGCACTATATGTGAGACTCATATTCTGTATATTCTGTATATTTTGTGTTCAAACATGAGATGAATTGTAGCATAAATTGGTTGTCAACCAAATAACTCCATCTCTTCTCTCACACAGAACTCGCGTTTCTTTCGCTAAACTTAATCCTAAAACCAACAAAACTTTTTCATTATTTTCATAATTACTCTCTCGCTCTCTATCGTGATGTGAGATATTTTTTGTCACTCTATGAAATGAAAAATACATTTCCTATAAGTGTTTGAAAATGTTATAAATGAGTGCTCGCAACAGATCGAAGTATTCATTAATCAAAACATTTTTTGTAAACCATGGCTCACTTTTTTCGGATTAAAACAGATTTCTCGGCTGAGGTTTTCAGACATTCATTTATTATAGGCATCAGTCTTTAAGTCGACCAATAATTGCGGCATTTTTGCGTTATTTAACATATTTTTGTGGTTTTTAAAAATCTCGATATCAATTGGATTAATAATGAAATAAATATATTTTTTAATTAACAGACGTAATCAATTGAATTGTATTTTTGTTTGTAATATAAAAATATTTTTATTATAAATGTGTTAAACAGCTTTTATTTAATAAAAAGGATCTTTTATTTATGAACAGGTTTTTGTTAAAAATTGATTACAATTTATGTCAAGATTAAGCATTAAATCACTGAAATTCGGTACTATTTATTAAAAATGAGAAATATTTTCACTTCAATTCAATAGAAATAGGAATTTAGTGTAATTGAAAATTCTTGCATTCAGTTATAAAATGTGAAAATCTAACCCAATATGTGATGTATTATATTATTTAGGCAAACAAAATGGCAAAAGTATTTCTGATTGAATAAATGTTATTATAGTAAATGTGCAAATTTAAATCAAAGTATATTTTAGTTGCGAAACATAAATACAAATATTTTATGGTCTGGTTCTTAGCCTATTTAAATGCAAACTACAATATATTGTGCATTATATTACAGCCCTCTTTGAATTATGTCAAGAATTTATAGTAATTATCGGAAAACAATTCAATAGAAGATAATAAGTGTGTTACTCAATGAAAAGACAAAATTTAATGAATTTTTCTATTAATAATGTTTATAATAGAAAATTCCAGCGAAATATAATTTTATAATCTTTAGTGTTTAGAGAAATTGTTTGCAATTAATTATAAATGAGAATTGATTTTGTTTTAAAAATAAATTAGTGAGTATTTGAGGCCAAAAGTGACAGTTTATGTGTGAGAATGAGATGAATGTTTGGATGCATTGAATATAACTTATATAAGGGATGAGAGAGTGGAGAGAATAGAGAGTTATAACTGATATAAAGAGCTGTTGGAGAACAGGGTTCATGTGATGGGCAATGGGAGCACCGAATCGATAATCTGTTGCCAAAACAACGGCTACGAAATGAGAGGCTTTTGTGAGCTCGAAATGATAGAAAGCCAGCGATTATTTCCATAGAGATTCGTACGCAAGATCTCTATGGCCTTACATAACAGGGTTTTCATTGACGCAAATCTTTTTAGTCGATTACATGCGAAATGCTATAGTATTCGGTGTGCGAGAGAGACAAACAAATTAACGATTCCTTCCATTGAAAAACCTGAACGACAAATCAAATGAAATATATAACAATCTTTTGGAGATATACTCCATAAGCGAGTGAATTGTTGGTTGTGTTTTCACTCCAATACGGCATTTCCCTTAACATAAACTTACTATCTATGCATTAGTTTAGTTTTATAGCTACTATTACTTACAAGTTAGCTTTTCATATTATATAACTACTAATATTTGTTTCTAAAACTACACAACCTCTCTATTATTGTTATTAATAATATATTGATCACAAGTTTTGTCGTCTTAATTGTGTCTATATTTAGGTTCACAGAATTAAACGGTGTTTTTGAAATGGTATGTGTTTCGAGACCTTTCCACTAGTAAAACATCTGTCAATTGTTAAACACTACTCTGTTGTAGGAATTTGTAAATTATATTTATATTTTAATATATAATGCATTAAAAAATAATAAAATTATAGTAGATTTTCAAAACCACTGTTTTGAAAAGACATTACTGTATAAATGGTTTATTCAACTCAAAAATATTTATTAAACTGAAAATATTAAATGATTTCTCTGTATATTCTCTGTGTGTTTATAATAGGCAACAGAATTGCAGTCAAACGCTATGAATGAATAAATGAATGAAAGAACAGATCCAACAGATGTTATGGATTTTGGGGACCAAATGAATGCTAATTATGACAGCATTTTAGATCATGAGTTGGCACCGACTGATTCAAACCACTATACATGTGAAACAAATGATATAATTGACAAAAACTCAAATAATAATGAATTGGATGAAAGTAAGCGATTAATTTTGTTGTGTTGATTCAATTGGTATTTACAGTAAATATAATTCTAGTTATAAAAAAATAACTATTTTAGTTTGAATTTACTTTTATTTAGAAAGCAATTGAATTTATTTTTATTAATAAAGTAAATTATTTGAAATGTGTTTCCAATTACACTGAAACACAATTGTTTTCGACATAAGACAGCAATTCTATGATATTATGACACTTTTAAATGTGGATATTATTTGACATTTTTGTGGCAAAATTCAAACAAATCTAATGATATACTTATCACCCGAAACAGTCGACACCAAAAGCGAAACTCAAGACATCGATGAAGTGTTTGAGAAGCAACTGAAGTACTGTTCGTGTGATTCGGAGTACGGAGAGGATGGCGACCGAGAGTTTGATTTGATGGGAGACAACCAGTTGTCGCCCAACAGAATGAGACAACTGGAGGAAGAACAGGAACTCCTCAATGGCTCACTCATGGCGTTGACCACACACTTCGCTCAGGTCCAGCTCAGACTCAAACAGATTGTCGACGCCAATGAGGATCAGAGGGAAGACTTGCTGAAGGAGTTGGAACAGTTCGCCAACAGAGGCATACCTGACATCAGACAACCGCAGATGGATTTGATGAGTGATAAGGAAAATGGTAAATGAGATCTAATTGTGTATTCACTTCTCATTAATTGAATGATTTGTTTGTCTTTTAGACGACAGAACAGTAACTGAAGACACGTTAGAATTACAGCGAATTAAACAAAAAGAGTTAATCGAGAAACTGAAGGACCAGTTGGAAGACCTCGAGAGCTATGCCTACGAGACCGGAGACATCGCGTCCATCCCATCGTCGATGCTTTTGGAGAGACAGACAGTGATCATCGAGCAGTTGAAGGGAAAATTGCCCCTAAATTTAGATGAATTGGACAAATCAACGCCCGAAGAGCTTAGGAAACAAGTGGACAGAGCTATACGTGATGTATGTCTTGTATTAATTTTAAAATCCTAGCCCTCATTAACACATGTATTATTCAACAGTTAGTGAATCCGGTTATAATGAAAGAGCAATTAGTCGGACAATTGAAGACACAGATCACAGACTTGGAGCGATTCATACATTTTCTTCAGGGTTTGTCTCTTTATACCATATTTTTAACTGATTTAATATATAATTTCTATTTGTTGGGACGGGTAGGTGAGGAGCAGTCGAAATGCACGTGCAATTGTCCAATGCATGGTAATAGTCAACAATGTCTGGAACCCTATAATAAACAAAAAGCCGAAGAAATGCTGAGACGAAGAGCCGACAGGAATAAGAAGAGCAAAGAAACTAACGAAACGGCTATTAAAATGATCCGAAGAGCTCTAACTTTACTACAAGTCTTCACATTCGCTCAGTTCGGTTGCGGTAATACAGATCTACTCTTAATTATCTCCATTTCTATGTTTGTTTGTCTCACACTTGAACATATATTTCTAAATAATTAGAGTCAATACGGACTTAAAATTCAATATTTACTATCACTTCACAGTACATAAGAGATAACAATTGATTTATTATATTAGTTGTCACTTTTGTGTGATTAATAATTTTTATTATTTTCTTATATTGATTCAACTGAAGGCAACATAAATCCACACTTTGAACGAAACACACTTAAGAAGTCGTCGAAAGGCAACCATTGGGGAGACCTTCGGGCACGACTGGAAGTGGCCATCGATCGCATCCTCGACATACACCACGAAAAGCACTCAAACGATTCGGACTACACATCGGATTCAGACGAGTCGCCCACCAATCTGTTGTGCAACGAAAGGATTATCTCAGCCGTACGTAAAGACCTGTCGTCAGCGCTCAGAGATCTGCTACAACACGGCCTCTCCGGCAACACACCCGACCGCATAAGCGAAGGGTCGGCGCCCACTGTTTTCAACTGGGGCTGCTTCTCAACCCGTTCCCATCTGGTCCCCCGTTCCCTACACGCCTGGGATGTTGTCCTTAAATACTATGAGCTTAAGGTATGCTAAAGATCTACCATTTAATCATGAGATCTTATTATTCCTACTTTTTTTTGTGCCACAGAATGGGATTAAATACAACTCATGTCCGGCGCGAAGACTCTCGCAGTCATTCAACTTACAAATAGTGGGCGGACTGGCCATCACTCCGAAGCAGACTTTATTGTCATGTATTGACGACATCATCGAATCGCACACTAAACTCAAGAGGAGTTTTGACTCACATTTTAAAGCATTTGTTTGTTCAGCGCTTAAGTAATTATTTTGGTCACTATTTCTATTATCTATAACCCATTAACCAATTGTGTTCATACATGCAGTGAAGGGAAATTGTGTCAATGGCTTAAACTTATAGTGAAAAGTCGTACAATAATTGGCATGTATTACGAGGACTGGTCGTATATGGTGTCCACCGGATTTGATGACACATTGCGATCGTTGGATAAGTTATCTGTCGTTCGCTTTCATTTGCCAACAGATCTGGCGGTCAGACAACTCCAGAATATTCACGACGCCTTCTAAGACACCACTGAATGGCATCCATTGGAGACAACATTGAGATCTCATGAATTAATTGTCAACTAAATTCATTTCCAATTGTTTCCTATTCTCCTATTTTGTATTCATTTGATGAATTGTTTGTTAAAATTTATTTTTTGTAAATTTTTTTTGTTTTACTATTAGAGTATAAATGCTATAATTTTATTGTCAACCTTTGTACGCTATCTATTTGACGAAAATAAATATTTTGAACATTTTATTTTCAAGTCGAGTTTAATTAAACTTATTTTGTTTTCAAATAGTTTGTGCACCTTGAGCCAATAAAATTTTTACATCACCTTTATTATCATTATACAAAATGGTTTAGTGGGAAAAGATTTTTATTTATTTTTCAAATGTGCCAAGTAGTAACATTTTCGCAAACTTCGCAAATAATAAAATATATTTTAATGTTTCGACCACTCATTAAATTTTATGTGATATAAAACCACAAATGCTTTTCATGTGAAAACAAAATAATTTATGTTTGTGGGCATAAAAGTTTAGGACTTATGTTTTTCAAAGTGAAACCCATGTTAATTATAACTACTAGTATGTGGTCCGGAGTCTGACCCATGTATGACACGCTCTAAACTTAGAGTCTAAAGAACATAAACTCAACATATAGTTCATTAGCTTTATGTCGAAAAGTTTAATAAAACTAGAATTAATGGCAAACTTTGCTTTTTTAAGCAACAAAAAATTACTTTTGATTTTGAATGCAAAAGTTTTAAAATCAAACAAAACCAAAAGGAACCGGTTACAAATACAGATAAGGAACTGAAATACAGTTTTATTTAACTTTCCGAAATACTACACTGGTATTAATAACATTAAAATAAATATCGCTTTCATTTTCATTTGACTGGCGATTAGATATCTTTTGGGTT